TAATTATCAGCTTTATTCAAAGCTATACTAATAAAAGAACGAATAAATTAAGTGTGTGGATATTAATGCTATTCAAACATTCCAAAAACAGAACACAGGTTTTCTGTGTTCTATGATTTTGAAAGTACACCGTAAAATTTGAGATAAATCACTATTACATTTTTGTCTCTTTTTTTTTCAATAAATATTAAGCAAAGCGATTCCGACCGTTCAAGAACGTAAAATTTTTTGATTATTAAATGATGGTTTAGATCCTTCTGGAGTGTACAGCACAAATATTTTATATAAAACAACGTATACAAAGCGATATACAAACAGCTATGACGCTACTGTAATATACATACAACTTTTTAATTAATATTGAGCACATCATGATTTTCATAAGCCGATCAAGAGGTACCGTCGAGCACATACTTTTTTACATTTATTGACTATAAATATAAAATTTCAATAGTAAGTTGAACAGGAGATAGTGTTTGTAATGTTTTTGTATCGAATTGGAATCACATTACACTTGCACATTTAAATATTTTAAGGATTACGTTTGGAACAACGAGGTAAATTTCAATTATTTTAGTGTGATATAAGTAGCTAATAAACTACATTAGATTTTTCAAATATGTTACTCCTTATGATATAAAATGAAACTAACGATAATCCACATCTATAATTTCAAAGAGTAGCTTTGCTGACTTAAGCACGAATGGATTTCGTATCGAGCAGAAATTAATAATAATAATATAATCTTTATTGCACACATACAGACAGGAAAACAGAACGAAATTACACGGTAAAACAATACAGAGTACACAAAAGTAGATTAATGTCACCTCTTTGAAGTTGAAAATGATAGTTCCCTCTGGGGAGACAGATAGTGCTGTTTAAATATAATTCAATTCACAATCTATGAGACAAAAAGATGACGCAACGGTACCACAATTGTAAAACTTAATAAATTACTAAATTGACATCACCACAACTTATGTTATAATCATCAAGTTAAAAATCAACACGATATCTTTGCTAGCTTATTATCTGACACTGGACTATTTACAATACTTCGTTATTATTTATCTTCCATACGTACAATGTTGTATTATTTGACAATTTTAAATATAGTAACTTATAATAAATAACATTTATTTTCAAAATCGATTTTATAGACAACAGTACATCTTTTATAGTAATGTTAAAAACAGAGTCCAACTCGAACAGCCGTGACAGCATAAAGCTTCAATGAAATAAACCTTAATTACCTTTTAAAGTAGGAGTAACCTGAAATTTGTGATATTAATCTGACGTTTTTACGACTGTACTACGGTAATAAAAGCATCCCGATACTTTGTTAGCGGTTCATAAGTTTATGACATACATAAGAAACTCTATGACTTATACAAAATAGCTTTTGACCATATTTCAAATATACATAAAAAAAGTGGATTTGTTGGTTTAATAAGCCCAGTGGCACTTAAGATAACTGCAAAACGCCTCAGCAATTAATTTTAAACATAACTACCGACAGATTAAAGTTTATAATAGATTGTAGAAATTTTGACTATTGTATTTTTAATGACCACTGAATGAATGAGTTGTATTTCAACTAATTGAATGTAAATATTTTGAAGTTATTCCTTATTTTAACATTACAAGGAATTTTTTTTTTTGCAATTAAGTGATTGCTTGACGATAATATAACGCTATTACCTCCGTGGCCGCCCTATATAGTAGTACGTAAAGAATTCACTGTGTAATAATTAATTAACTGATCATAAATAATTCTATACTAGACCCATCACGTACAGTAACAGTAAAGATATTTTCATCTATGATATTTTAATCTGTACATTTGTTTTTAAACTAGAACTAGATGGAAAAATATATTTACAAAGGATGTACACAATCAACTCATCAGGTTCCTACATAATGTGAAATTTCCAGAAACAATTTTGAATTCAATTTTAATGAATTAGGAACAATGAGTTTTGTGTAACCTGAGCTGTTGGCGACTGGACTTTATCACCTTCAAATAATAATCAAAAATATTGATTGGGCATTCCTACTATACAAATAAAATTATAGCCACAACTCCATAGATATCTATATTGTTTTTATAAGATTGATTTTAGAAAACTCATTTTAAACAAAATTTATACTTTTTAAAATAACTATTTCGTTTTATGTATTTGCAAAACTTCACTTCTTACTTTGTTATAAAGTGCAATATTGTATTCATATCTGTAGGCGCCTATAAACCATCTAGAATTTTCTATAATTTATTAATTGAATTTTGTGCTGAGACGGGGTCCCTTACTTATATAGTAGTCGTTAACAATGGTTATACCATATAGTACGTGTAGATTTGAAGAATTACTATACAATTTGTATAGTCAACAATGAAATACATTGAATATAAATTAAATAAAAGAAAAATACCAAGAAACAAACTGTCTCAGGCGCCAATCAATTAATATTTTTAGTTTACCACCCAAAAAGAGTAAAATATATTTCTTAACATAGAACAACATAACTGAGCAAAACAAACTTGATAAATAACTAAGATTTTTTAAAGAAATAATCGAATATCCTTTAGTCACTTTCTATTTGCAAGGGAAGTAACCAACTTTTGAAAAACTAAACTTAATAAGGAAATCCTTGTTAAATTGTTCCTAAAGGAAAAGAAAAAATTTTTTTTTTTTATTATATCCAGCAAATGTTCGATCTTCTTGCGAATTCACTTGGTTTATTACTTTTTTGGTTTTAATTGATTATTTTATCTATAGAATACTTTAGGAAGGAATTTCAGTATTCCATATCAGGGATTATACCATATATTTGGTAACTTTCCGCTAAACTACTAGTACTAGACAGCATGATGATACTCTTTCCAACTGGAGATAGTTCTGAACGTAGTCCAGTTAGCAAGAGATTACTGGTTACCTGGTACCTGAGACATTCGTTTATTTCAAGTATTTTACCTAAGATAATCACTAAAAATAATAGAAACATAAGTTCTTAATAACTATATATCAATATGTTTCAATTCTACACGTAAGAGTTACAACTATCAATCTTTTATTTATTCATTTTGTAATTATTAAAAATTTTAACATCAATAATTTTGATTACATTCGACCTTATCAGATATAATTATGTCTCATATAGCTTTGTGGACATTTTTCCATATGTTATCTTTTTAAACACTCAAAGATTAAAACATTTTTGAACAATTTTACACAATATAAACGAAAATGGGAAATTATTTTTTTCCAAATGGCAACAATATCCACAAAACTGGCAACACTAAACGTCCGAAGTTAATTCGGGACTTCTATAACTCACAAAGAACAGATTAAGCTTAGGATAATAACAGTGGAAAGGGTTTCTATGAGCAAATTAACAAACAAATCTGGTGTTGAGGTTTTCATTCAAGACATAGGTCACGTTTCAAAATATATATTGTGTGTTGTCACTGTAAGTGCAATTAAATTTTACATCTTCGATGGCTTTATATTCATTTTTAAATTGAGTCGAACTTACAGAAATTATTCAAAGTTGAGCGAAATCGATGACTTTTAGGATTACGTTTAGAAAAGTTGCCGTTATTTTAGTGTATAGATATTATCATAACTCTAGACTGAATTATAACACTAAAATGAACTTTCAATTGTAGAGGGAATTGGACAAGAAGACGGACCTGTGAAGATGGTAAGAGTATTCCGCAACTTAAACGGTTTTGCCCAACTCTGATGCTATTGTCAATTTAATAGTTAACATAATTAAAGAAATCTATTAAACAATTAATATTACAACAAGTACACTAGACATAGTAAGACACGCTGAAAAAGGATTATATATAGACATTAAAACAAGTATATTTCAACATAAACTGAAGAAATGCAACATCAATCTGATGTTGATTGAACCAACACCGCAACACCAGTTCCTTAATCTACACAATTATACATAACACTACCAAAACGAAAAGTCCTTTCCGCCTATATCCTAGTATCGGACAAGCGGAATTTTTTGCAGTAAAGCCCTTTTCAAAACGGACGATGGTGGCTCATATAAGACGACTGGTTGTAGAAGTCGCGCCGGAGGAACCGATTCGTGTTAGTGGGATACATTCCGTAATTGGTCGTATAATCTTGACGGCTATGTAGCATGTCTAACTGATCCAAACTGTGATGTCGCTGCGGTAATATCGATGCATGCGATCCTTATAGCAGCGTGCGCAAACGTTTATCGTTTTATTTGGAGACTCAACAGCGATATTACACTTATTCTAATATCATTTAAAGCCAATAACAGTTTCACAATAATGTTAAATGATCCATGATGTAAATTAAGATAAAATTCAAATGGAACAAAATGTACGTTACAAATTTAAGCAGATTTTATAATTATCTCGGTTGTCATATGTATTTATTAAAAAAACGTAGCCTTTGATTGATTAATTATTTATATGTGATTGAAATAAATGTCGAAAGAATTGTAATTGATATAAGAAATTTGATAGTTAGATGCTTTTTAAATAATAAGATAGCGATACTTTGCTATTACTGGTCCTATACGATTTATTAACCAACTTAATGATATATTATTATGATATATTGGTGCAAATTGTATCATTTCTTGCATAACATGTAATTTCAAATATAAATCTCCTGCACACTACAAAGTAGTACAATAAACTCCTGCCAGTCTGGTTTTTTACAGCACTGAATGTTTTTCAATGTAGTTTTTGTTCTGTTGAGTTAAAATTAAATTTACTTGTGACATTGCATTGACACCATTTTCTTGAACAATTTAGGGGTGTATAAAATCTCGGTGAGTTTATTGAAAATATTTAACTTGCTTAAATTTCGAATTTTAACGTTACAGAAAAGTATGTTCACTCACATTTACCAGTATGTACGACGATATTTAAAAAAAAAGGTGTTCCTACTAAAACTAAACAAGAAAAATATAATCTAGTAACGAAAACTGCTTACTCTTACCTCTATTATGATGAAATCCTGCAGCCCAACCCGCATAATACGCAGCCTTTTGTTTCCCATGTTCTTCTGCCACCTGCAAAGTAAATTCAACGAATTGAGTATAATAAGACGGCAACTTTTTGGGCCGTTCTAAAATAATTAATATCCTTTTAGCACTCGAGCACATACCCAGTAAGCAAATATTGTATGAAACATGTACCAACGCGGTAAATAATATTTAATATTGAAACGACATATGTCATGCATATTTTTTCATGTACGATCACTATAAATATACGCATAAATTTTAATATATTTGCAGTGGCGTAGCCATACCGTTGGAAGATAGCGGCAAATTAATCGGATATTCTATTTTTTTTACAAATTGTGTATTAATAAATGTCAGGCGTAAGGTTTTTTCTTTGACAGGGGTCTCTCTCCAGCTGGGGTCCCGTGGCATTATGATGAATTGCCGCCCTTTAGTTACGCCACTGTTATTAAAAAAAAACGGTTATTAAATAGCCCAGTGGAAGTGAAACTGTGGTCGTTTCATCGATTGTTATAGCTTTCTATCTCTCTTTATCTATATCCCATCTCTCTGTCAAAGGCTAAAACGCAAAAACATAGTTTTTGTCTTTATATCTGGGATTCAACATTTTGTAGGTTGTTTAGGGTTTATAAGTACTAGATGTACAGGACACCGCACCGCGTCCAGGCAGACCCTCTGAGTACCACTAACATTGACATCTTTATTAAAAATTGTTATTGTTTAATTACCGGTATACAGTTGTTTTGTTAAATTTGATAATCTTAACGTAAAGAATATCAACTCACAACTCATATTTAACCAAGGGAATATAAAGAAGACTATAAATATAATTATAATTTCTTCGTCGACGCTACCAGTTGATGTGCCTATAACGTCATTTAGTAACGTTCGTCGACGGTCAACTCGTAGCCAACAACTGTCTAGCAGCACAACGATAGCAGATATTAGGTCGTCTGTAATAACCTGACATGTTTTTGACTGTACATAATTATTCCTACTCGTATATAGTAAAGAATTTGATAGCGTATGATGTGCACATTCCATCTACAATGCGGAAGTTGAGGAACTTCTGTAAGGACCGGTCATAAATCGGTGACCAAAAAATACACTATCCTCAACTTCTCCGTGTTTAAGGAGGCACGTAAAACCGTTGGTCCCGACCGCATCTACGTTAATGGACACCAACCATTCTCTTTATGCCAGCATGGAGGGTTATAGCTCGTTCTTGGCCCGTTTATGCTATTTAATTCCATTTACATGCTAAGAAGGTTTGTGCCCAAGCAGTGGAACCATTAATAGACTGAATAATGATGTTTAATAAAATGTACTGTCGACAATCCTACAGGATTGAAATTTATTGTAATCCTACTAACGAAGGCAATATTAATATTATGCACTTAAGTAAACAAGCGGTGTAAAGATCTTAGTAATTGAATGAATTACAAATAATAGGTATAGAAAACTATAGAGAATGGCATGAATGATTACAGAGCTAGAAGAAAAGCAGTAATAAGACATTCAAGGCTCAAGTTTTGTAGTGTTGAATGTAAAGTAATTGAAAATTCTATTAAAATTATTTTTCAAGTCAACTTTTTTATAGGAATACTGTCTTCTAAGTACAAGATCTCCCGATAGTTTGACGATCTGATGGCACAATATCGTTTATTTATGTACCTATCATATTTTTATATGAGCACAATTTCTTCAATGGAGAAAGTTAGATATTTCAAACGTAAGAAACAGAGTATTTTAATTTGAAAAACTCCCACAATAATCCCTTGAATTCTATTTGGTACTAATTATAGATCAATGATAGGTATACCATTAGTTGAGTAACCATTTAAATTAAATAATTTTAATATTTCAATCTATATTTGTGCTTAAAGCGGTTAATTTTAATATCGAATAATTTTAAATTAATTTTAAGGCATTCTTCACGATAAAATCAATTTTGTAATAATATTCCATAATTTCCGAACATACTCGTAATAAATATTTTTTCTATATTTTTTATATAATACGTATATATGAGATTTATTTTCCGCCCCACAGAAGGGGTTAAGTGTGGTCGCACCATTGTATCGCTGTGCAGGCGCAGACGGGCACGCGCCGCCGCCGCGCCACCCCGCCCCGCTGTCTCCGCCCCGCACCGCTACAAAACGCAACCAATTTAGACCCGCCCAGCCAATTGCAAATCTAATCACTACCGCTCACGGCCCAGATCGGCTTGCGATATTACGACCACGCGAGTGATACATGCATGCGCGTGAAACCAATCCCACAAAATAAACTTGTGTAATACTTAGCCTGAATCTAAATGTGTATGATTTATATCGCAATATGATGAAGAAAACTACAATGCCCATGAAATGTCATATGTCGATCCTTGCAATATAACCATCGAGTGAATTAAACTTGAACATGAAATCGAGACACCTAAGCTCAAAATATTCTGCTAATAACGAGCCTAAATCTAATCGCAGGTAGTCGAATATAATGATAAATAAAAAGTATCATCAGTCGAATTAAATTATTATTATTGAATCATGCATAAGCGTGAAAGTGAATCATCAAAATCCAATGTTTTTATTAATACTATCTAAATACGAATGGTTGACATTTAGCTGGCAGACAAATTCCGCCATGAAAGAGTGAAAGATGAATAAAAAACATAATCTACCTCTTACTCAAAATTTGAAACAAGCTGTGAAATGTTATCTATAACATCTATAAAATATTGCCGAAATCAACTTGCAATATTAATAACAAGTGAACCATGCATGATTAACTATCGAAACCTAAATTCGCCTCGGTTACAAACCATAAAAAATATTTTAAAAAAATACTGAAACAAGAATATAATTGCGATCCGCCAAAACAATTGCGCCTTTAGTTACCATAAGGGCAATTATAAACGCCAAACACATCTGTTCATTAAACAGTTAACCCGAGGATATGTTTAATCGAAACACTTGTCCAAACAGCACTGCAAAAGATTGAATGAAAAAGAATCAATTACTCGATTAAAATTCATAAAATCGTTGCATCAAAAATATTTATTCTTGAATGGCTGGCTGGTGAATCGAAGACAAGAACAAGTCTTTCTTGTCCTCGAGAAACCAGATTGAGAACCATGTTCCAAGGAATAATAAACTTTAACTACATATGGTACATATAAGCAATATAGTGGAGTGGCTAATAGCACCTTTATTAATGATTAGACTCAATAACTGCGATTTTAATATCTATACTATAAGGTTGAAATAAATTTGCTATACTTAGTTTAAATCGAACTCGTACAAATAAAAATATAGTTTCTTATCATGCATAATTGTTTTACGATAATCTTATCATGCATTATTGTTCTTATTATATATAATGCATAATAAGAAACTATATTTTATGATTTAAGAATTATTTTATCAACAAAATAATGTTAAAAAAAGTTCTATTCCACATTTTTAAGGGGAAATTTCTCTTAGGTATATAAATGATCTTTTCCATTATGATAACGCAAAGCAGAAATTGCTAACTGATGAGATTAATAGAGATTTAAAAGTGCAACAAATATGATAGAAATCATAGCCCGTTTAATAATAGAAAAACCGGCCAAGTGCTAATCGTACTCACGCACGAAGGATTCCGTACCGAAAACGAGCAAAAAATCACGTTACAGCGAAGTCTAGTAATAGGGTCCCCTTTGGGTACGGAACCCTATAAATGTGATGGTATGCATGGATAGCTCTAATAAATATATTATAAGCTGTAAAATATATTTTGATGTGTTCTATATCAAAAAATACGTGTCCTAAGCAAACGATGTAACACTTGAAAATAATTGTGAATAATGATGACATGTACAGACTGTACATATTTTGTCTTGTTTACACAAAAATAGCTATCTGATATGGAAAAAAAATAAGAATGTAGAGAATTATTTCTCACCTCCAACATTATTTAACATACTGCAAAGATATTGGACTACTTAAACAAAGAACAAGAAAAGTCGGGAATATAGCAAAACATAATGATTGACAAACTGAAACTAAAAAACGTCTTAATTATTTTGCCAAAAATTTGTAAATATTACAGTATCCTTCAACCTTTCCCTTTCATATCATAATAATAATTTATTGCCTACCTCAATTAACGCCAAATAGGCATTTCCATTTTATATTCTATATCTTCTAAATTTCTTGATTTTCACCCCGTTATCGCCCTTTTCACCCCATTTACATCGAATGAGACGTCCATTTGATTTTTTACTTCATTTTCCTCCATTTCACATCGTCACCCCTTCTCTTATTACCCCCTTTCCATTTCCTTACCCTTTTTGTGTTTGAAGTGTTCACATCGCTTACCTTAACGCTTAGAGGTTCAGTTCCACCTTCTGGTATCACATTGTTCAGGGCCGCAATCGCTTCTTGCGCCTCTTCCCTTTTGTCAAATCTGGATAAGCAAATAAAACTGTGTATAAAAAAAGAAACGTTATATGTGATGCTTATTAAACTAAAGAACTACTGGAATAATTAGGCTAATAGGGATACCTACGTAAAAAAATCTATTAATAGTCAATTGCACAAATGTTTAAGGTCGACTTTAAGCTCTAATGAATGTTCTAAATTTGAAAATTTAAATAAAAGTTTATACAATTGCATGTTAAGTTCGTCAGATAATTGTAAAAAATTGGATCTTATTTGCTTTACGTATCATATCAATGAAATAAAAGATCAGGGGATATAATCAGTTGCAATATTTGGAAATGAACTGATGACGTTATAACATTAATTGTTACCAACCACCCAAGCTTCGCTGTTTGGAGGATGGTGCAACGCATTTCTTAGTCAATGTTAAAGTCAGCATTGTAGTTTTTGTCAAATTTGACATAAATCTTAACTGTGACCGTTTGAAACCAGCCTTAAATTATAACTACTCGCGTACTGGTGACACAATGACGTCAACAATCACAAATCGGCAGCCTGAATGACGTAAACACGAATACTTACTTCGATAAATGTAGAATAAGAAAAAACTTGTACAATTCATTACAGTTGACAATAAATCACCGATTTGATTATACTATAGGTAATTCTTTTTAATCAAATTCAGCTCAGGCCTTCCTTATGGATGGTTAAGGAGGATGGGCCATGACCCTCCACGATGGCCCAATGCGGATTGGAGGGTATTAACGACTGCAAATGCAGCCGGGACCAACGGCTTAATGTGCCTTCCAAAGAACGGAGTAGCTCGAGATAATATTTTCTTTTTTGGTCACCCATCCCGTGACCGACCCTTGCGAAAGTCGCTTAACAACTACGATCGCAGACCGCGGCGCTTATCCACTACGCCACCGAGCTACTTTAAAAAATCCTAAATCAAATTACAATAAAATTAAATATAAAAAAATAAAATATGTTTTCAACGTATTAAACCTCGTGCATGATTCAGATTTACTTCTTTTGCATGTCATACAATGTAGGAATTTTTATTTAATTATGTAGTACAATATCATTATTTAAAAAAAATATATATATATACTTCTCTTACAATTAATTACGTATATTTACTATCGTAATTTAAACATGAGTCAATTTTACTAACTTTGACAATACTTTCCTGTGTTTGTTTATCATCTGCTTTCTACCGGCGGCTTCGCCGGCATGGTCCTGTGTTATACATATCAACCTTCCTCTTGAACGACTCTATGAAATCCGTTGTGTAATTAAAAGATCTCAACGCACAGCGGGAATCGACTTTATTTTATACTATATATATAAAGTTATTTAAATGTACCTGACGAAAGCAACACCCCGCGGCGCTCCACTGCCTTTGTCCCTCAGGATGTGTTTCTGAACGATTCTACCGTATTTGCCGAATATCGTCTCCAACTGTTCCTCGGTTATTGCGCGCGGCAAATTTGTCACATACAAATTGGTGTCCTTTATATCGTCACCAGACGGTCGAGCGTATGACACCTGAAACAACATGCATTATATTAATAATCGGGGTTCGGAATGATAATTATCGGTACTACACAAACTCTTTTTGTATTTTAGGACTTGTTATTGAAAGGGGATCTTTAAACAACTATAAAATATGCTTTTTCTAATACAGAAAATTGTCTAGGACCTATAAAAACAAAATCCTACAAAAACAAAAAAAAATAATATGCACCCTGTTTTTATTAATATATATTTTTTTTTATTTAACTTTTTGTTAAATATGATTTCATTGTCAATTTTTTGTTTGTATATTTTTAATAATTTAAAACAAAAAAGTTTACTCATTTATGTATTTAAAATGTTACAGTAATAAACCTTTTTGTGATTTAATAAAAATGCGTTATGCTCTATCCCTGCTACATACTCGGTGGGATGCTGAGCGGGTCAAATGTTAAAAACCCTGGGTATGGGGTTGGAAATGGTACCCGGGAACTCGAGCATAGTCACCGGGCTAACCCTCAAGTGGCCCCTAACCTAGGCGCAATAATAAATACTGCGTGAGTAATTTATTTTAGATTTTTTTTATAATTATTCACGATGTATTAGTAATGTAAAAAGGACAAATTTAATTAGATTACGTGCGCCCAGTGCTTATTGACGAGTGTTAACGACTGCAGATGCAGCTAAGCTAACAGCTAAACGTGTCTTTCGAAGCACGGAGGAACTCGAGACAGTAAATTTATGATCAACCATCCTTTAAACATCTCCTAATAAATATAAAATAGCCTCATTATACATATTTTAACCCTCCTAAAACTTGATAAAAATCTGTTATAAAAACTTTTATTCTCTTCTTTTATAAAGCCTTCGTGTCATTTTAAATAAATATATTTATAAGATTAGTGACAAGTGATTATAAATTATATTTTTCTATATTAATATTAAAAAGATAAGATTGTTTATATTAGTGAGAATTTGTTTTTTTAGTTTAAGTTAGTGCACCGTCTAACTGTGCGTTAGTGTGGCGAATTCTGCCGCGATTAACGTACATATTAAGTTACAGCTGTCAGGTGTACATCAGATAGACAAATGAAAAATCTGATATAGTTATTCTCTGTTATATAATTATATTATACTGTTCCAGACATAGCATCAACAAATGAGTCATATCGATACTATTGTGTCAACAGAATAATACAAAACTACAAACATTAATGAGAATGTGTCCATGGTGCGAACAAAAAAATTGTACTTTTATTATTTAATTGTATTGATAAATTGTACTTAAATTAATTAATACTAGCTGACTAGGTGACTTCTATACCGCCATATTTTATTACTCCAGTCACGCCTGAGATTTTTTTTTATAAATACAAACCTTGTCTCAATCTGTGCAGTCATTCGGAAGTTATGTGCATACACATATAAAAGGTAAACAAGTCGTACTGTGTTGTGCGTAGCCACAAGTATAATAAGGGGTTTCAAATTTAGTACCTTGATATGTTGTATATCTTTTATGGTTTGTTTTTAGTAGCTGTAGCTGTGCCGTTTATAAATAAAAATAAATAATATATGCGGGCGAAGTCGTAAGAAAACAGCTGGCAGTTCATATCTTAGAAAATTATATAAATATACCTAACTGCGATAAATTTAAATAACAATTACATCCAAATGTAATGCTCTTCTTACATATAGAAGTAAAAGGTCATGAAACCCACCTTAAACCGTTTATTTCTGAGCTGGTAACCATTGAAAGTCTCAATAGCGCGGGCCGCATCCTCCTCACGTGTAAAATTAACGAAACCGAAGCCGTAACTGTAACCAGTCTGAAAACAATTAGTTTTTTGAATAAATATAGGTAATATAATTCCAAATAATATTTAGAGGACGGTGAAATCCAATTTTCAAATATAAAAACTTCACGTATTGCCTAAATTAGGTACTTACAAAGCTATATTGATATGTATTTATTTTTATAAAAGAACGAATCTAGCAGTGACGGTAAAAAATGATGGAAAGTCTTGCCAAAAATTGTTTGTCTTTTGATTTTACGGCTCGTTTACACTGGCCAAAGAAATCGCCCGCACCCCACACGCACTACCGCGTGCAGTTGGTTTTTGGTTATTGGTCGGTCATTATTTCATTGTCTAATAAGATTACCCCGTAGAGGCCGCCCGCACTGGCCCGCACTTAACTGGGCCATTAAGGCACAACACTACTATATTTAATATAGAGGGTAATCCACATCGTACTCGTTCGTTAATAAGCTACGATACACATTAAGAGTTAATAACAGTCGAATGGTTCTAAGATACATTATTAAATATAATTAATCCCCAATGACCCTTCTATACTGGGAGGAACAAAATGACCGACACAACCGAAAATTTCAAGTTAGGTTACATGCAAACGTTCATTTTATTTGACAAATATTTAAAAATAGAGGAGGTGTAAAAATGGAGTAAAAATTTTAAATTTTGAAGTGTTGACAGCCCTATCACGCGCATGCGCAATATCGATTGTGTGCAGATTTCAACGAACCGCGAAATACATTAATTTAATTTAATTATTTACCGATATCTTAATGATAGTCGATGCTGAAAATGTCCACTTCCTCTCTGAAGACTGAGCTAAGCACGCTCTTTTCAATGCCGGTGCATGCACGCGCAAAACACATCACATTTCACACAAAACTAAACACAATAATGAAAAATACCGACAGAATAATGAAGTCGCCTGGCGGCTGGGGGGCGGGTGGGGCTTTGATATCGAGTGACAAACTCGGTTAAATTTTTTTTTATTCGTCTTTTGATATCACGCATTTTTAAATGATATTTTAATAACAAATTCCTAAAATTTTTTAAAACAAAGTTCATTTGTGTTAATGATGAATCGCTGCAAGATTTGTTAGTTTATCGAGTTTAATTAACGATCCCGTTGTTAAAGGAATATTACCCCATCCAAACTTTTTTTTGGAGAACTGCTCTTTTAAAATAACGTAGATTAATGTTAGACTGATCTCTCTACAATAATTTAGGAAATTTTACACTCGGTTTCTTAATTGATTTAAAGTTAAACATCTCAAACTAACATCACTTAGTTTTCGTTTCCGATTTTAGTTTTTTGATGATCAGTTGATAGCAGTTTGATAAAACTAGGACTATTTGACTTGTGAAATTAAAAAAAAACTTAGGTTATTGAGAATAAGCAGTAGAAATTTTCTACTTTTTTCAAATCATAAACCGGCTGTTAGTCTGTAAATCGATTTAAGCATTTTGACTGCCTTGTTTATTGATTGTCTGGTAGAATTTGCATGAAAGCAGTCTTATAAATCACAAACTAGTTTATTTCGTTTTTAGAAATGAAGAAGTCAATGACCGATTTTTCAAAATCTTTGTAATTTAATATCTCCGAAACTATTTGACCTAGACTTATAAATTTTTTTTACATCATATTAAAGACAAATAGTACTCTCCTGGAACCTCGGGAGTGTCGGTCGTTCTGATCCACCGAGTATAGTATGTAATAATAGAGACAATAAATATATAAGAAAATAATGGTAACAACCTTCGCTTTTTCTATGTAAAACATATTTCTAAAACTTCTATGTCTTTTCAGAAGTACATAGTATAAATTCTTCTTCTTCCTTTTCAATTCCTTGCTTTCAAGGAAAATTTTCCAAAAATGTAGAATATTTAAAAAAATAGTGTTTACGTCGATAGATACCTTTGGTAAAATCAATTCTCAGATAGCAACGCTGTGTCCTGCTTTTGTGTACAGTCTACACCTGTATTGAGGCCCAGAGCTTAAAAGTCTCTTGTACCTCAATTAGAGCCATCATCGTTTGCAAGAATCAAGGTCTTACTCACCTTAAAATCCTTCATAACTCGACAGCTCTCTATGGGTCCTATGGTCATGAACATCGCGTATAGATCCTTCTCGGTCATAGACTGGGGCAAATAGTTAACAATAAGATTGGTTTTGCAACTGTCCCCTGCCGCGGATACGCCACCTCCTTCAGACATACTGCCCCAGTATCTCGCGCCAGAACCTAACCGACCTCTGTACTGGTGTTGGATTTGCTGAAAATAAAAAAAATATCTTCGTCAAAGACAATACCAGTAATCTTAACTTCTCTCTTACAAATATTATAAAGTGAAAATAGGATATGGTTTGGATATTTGCTACTTCTTCTCGCAAAAACGACTGAACCGATTTTGATGAAATTTGGAATACAAATAATTCTAAGTCTAGAGTAACATATAAGCTTATTTGTCCTAGTAATACTTAATTTTTTGAATTGTTTGTTTATGTACATCGAATACCTAGGTTCCGAAACGACTGATCGGGCGAAGTCGCGGGAAAATAGCTAGTCTTTTATACTATTATTAATCTATACTATCAACCATACTAAACCATACAAAAAAATTGTACACTGATAATGATAACAAAATTTTCCTGTATATCGCTCAGATCCCAAATTAGGTCACGTTTATCATTTCTAACGTGGAAGTCCAGAAGAACAATACCCCGACAAAAAGAAACAACACATAAAAGTTTAATTATCTACAATCACCCGTCTGAGAATCGAACCCAGAAATGACGACACCGTAAAATCGGCATGCGATCGGTAGCGGATTGGCGCTACAGTGCTAGGATATAATTTTCTAACAAGTTTACTTAGTTTTAAATTTGTGCCAAAATATATTATACCACGCTGCATTGCGTTCAAATCTTTAATCCAACATTGCAGAATTTTTAAAAACTATTCGAATGTTAATTATAAACAGCAGTCCCAACATAGTCTATTCAAAGTATATAAATTCAAATTAACAGCTACTAGTAGAAAGGTTGAAATCGCCGCACTCAGCTTACAGCAATTTAAAACGTACAACACGAACCTATAAACTCTGACAATCGTCCGAAAAACTGGAACGAAGCACGTGGCCTCGACCTACAAGCAATTGAGATGAACTCAGTATACCAAACGCCAAGAGACCTTGACATAAAATCACATACAACTAAACTAATAGTTTGGAAATCAATATTATCCCTTCTTGCTCTGTATGACAAAGCATACTTAAAGTAACCATTTTTTCTTAGAATCAATATTGAACATTATTTTAATAGAAAACTGAGGGGGGGAGAGGTTAAAATAATTAATTCTTGTGACTTAATTTATAGATGGGTTGCTTTCCGGTATAGTGTAATATAAATTAAACAATCTCTTGCCTTTTCGGAATATAAGGTTTCAAATAAATAAATTGGAATATAAATTAATGAATTTCGCCTCTGCCTTTGCAGGCAACCAACAGTGAGTTCAAAAACAAATTCTCAGGATTACGAAAACAGGACAATTTTGCGTCAGGGTTTACCATCGGGGACACTAACACAGACAAAAACCGAGACGGTCCAACTGATCACGTTAAGCATACTAAAGGATATCACAGAATTAAGGTGATTTTTCTTTATTTTAAATAACTATTGTAGCGTAGTGACTTTATACTGATACATGTTGAAGTTAATTTATAGTGTGACGATTATATGAAACAAGACAGAGATATAAATTTGCCGTGTTACTTCTTTCGTTCTTTTTTTCAGTACAAGGTCTCCCGGCATTGAATGATGACATAGATATTCGACTTTCACAAGTGCTGGTTAACTGCCTAGACAGAATAAACAAATTTTTAATTTTTAGTGCCGACGAATGAATGAATCAAACTAAATTTATTATAGAGATACTGGTGACAGACAGACGGACAAAGGAGTCTTAATAATAGGGTCCTATTTTTAGACTTAATCCTAAAACATAGAAAAATAATTATTTGGCTTTGAGTACTTCAAACACAGATAATGCATTAAAATGTATGCAAATAATTATAGTCACGTATAATATAACAAATAAGTTTACTTATGTTATCTAAGTTGTTTATGAAAATGTAAACCTCATTAAAAATAATTATTTTTTAATTATATTATATTTCACAATTATTGACTGTTGTTTTGAATTGTCATTCAATGTGTAAATTTACTGGTAGAATGAATTGCAGTAACATACGGGTATAGAGAAAATCTTTTACAACCTTTCTTCGCCCATTCCAAGATTGCATACTGTTCTCTTTTCACTATGACACAACAGTAGTACGCCGAAACCTTTATTCGATAAGTCACGAGTAACTTGAATGAGACGGGAGTCTACAGATTGCCGGTACACATGCGACAAATAAAAATCGCCTCTGCCTTTCTAAACAGTGAATTTTCGTATCGATTAACATTTCTTAATTTAATTATTGTATGCATAAATAAAAACTAAATATTTCTACCACGTTACATGTTATATAGAATCCGTCAGTACCGTGTCATGATGAAATAATGACTAAGCGAAGGAATATTACATTGCCCATTGAACTAAATAATATTTTTTTATCATATAAATGATCTTTTTAGGAATGCGAATTATACAGTACTAGCTGCGCAGCGCGTAATTCAAATTATTTTAAAAAATATAAAGCCTACGTTAACCCTTTATAATGTAGATTTATTATTATGAAAGGATTTTTAAAACGGCATAGTTATTGAATGTATCCATTACAAGCAAAAAAATCAAACATATCCTCTTAATAATACCTATTGGTATAGATATATATTAGCGAACTGTCCCAGATTTGTAAACGGTTTCACGTTACATTAAGCTTCCAGTCAGTCTGTTTTTTTTTCTATATCCTCGACATCACTGTCATACCCTAGTACAATACCTCAGTAAATTATAACACCAAATCTTCCTTACTGAATTACTCTGTCCATTGATACAAAATTCAAAGATTTTACATTTTTTTACGATTTTCCGTAAAGCTTTTACTGAAAGTTTGGCGTATTATGTGCATACAAACAATGGATCTCAAAGTTTCCATAGTAGAGGTGCCAGTTCACCATTTAGGGTGTATTATTGATTCACACACAGTAAACTTTCTGTCCCGCGGCTTCGCCCATGTAAATTATAGCTTATATGTATGAATTATAGCGTGTATGAATTAGCTTTCCGTAGGTGAATAAATAAATTTCATGATCGGATCAGTATTGACTAAAAATAACAATAAAATAAATATTTAAGGGGGGCTCCATACAACGAAAGTGATCTTTTTGCTTATTCTCTCGTACGCGCGAGTCTGACTCGCACTTAGCTGGAGTTTTGACCCGTGTAACTCTCAAAGACACTATTTCGTAAATCACAATTCCTTACTATTACTTACGTTAAATTATTATTATTATGCGAATAGCATCAGGGACATAGCCCGATACTACCACCATATATATTTCTTATATAAATATGAGTGTTTTTCCAATACTTGTACTTCTAAGTAGATTAGACAGAGTAAGCAGGATATTGTTGTAACCTGTGATATCTTTTATATATGTATTTACATGTTTCATGGAAATAATTATTACCATTATAAAAACACTCAGTCTGCACTCTGAATGTGACAAAAGATTCGCAATGCAATAGTTGCATTTAAGGTGTACGTTAACCACAAACTCAAATTAAGCAAGACAGAGTATAGTATATTATAATATGATATTAAAAATGAAAAATTTGTCTATCTATTTCTCCTTGTTATTAATTGCAACGGAGTGCCGTTAAGGTATATTTTAGTATGGAGATAACTATCTGTCTCCATAAGCTACCTTTTCCTCTCAAATAAGTATTTTAAACATGCAGGCAAAGCCGTGGATAACAGCTAGTATAATATATTTTAAATTTAGAGGATTTAGACGCCGACAAGACGTCTCGGGCTACATTAATAGTGTTAAAACACAGAGCTACCCTACACTAATCTTATCCTAAGGCTTCTTCTTAGTAATAGTCAAAACCGTCAAAGTATATCCCGGCCTTTCACATTCTAAGTATGAAGTTGCATTAAATCTAATATAACCAACTATAAGAAGAAACTTTCTTCTATACTATGTAATTATATAGAAACTTTACATAGATTGATAGACCATAAAATCATATACAAAGCTGCAATAGTTGTCATCCAAACAGTTTCCTCGGGAAAAAAGGTTTTAATATAAAGATATTAAAACCTTTTTTCCCGAGGTACCGAAATGTTGTATGTACTGAAAAGTTTGTTAAATCACATTTTATATGAAAAATTACGTAGACGCTGAGGAATTCATTAAGATATCCTTAACGAATTTCTCAGCGTCTACGTAATTTTTTTATTCAACAAATATTACTAGTCAAATAACAATATAACAGTACACAGTCCAGAATTTCATAATATACACTGTATATTTTCATTATGAAAAATGTGAAAAGGACAATCATAAAGACGATATAGGCTTGCCAAATTAAATTTTCGAGAATAAATATCCAAAAAAAAAACTGCATCAAATCCGTGGCATCATTCCATTCCACCGTAAGTGTCCTTGATTTTGTGCTAACATGGTGTTCCTATATCTTGCATTGGCGTGTGCTAGTAGAGCCTCTGGCATGCTTCCAATGTAAATGGAACTCAGCCCCTTTGGCTCAGACTCATTAATAATGGATTATCAGAAGGAAACAGTGAAATGATTCAAAACTATCCTCCGTTTCCTAATGACTGCAGGCTAATTAAATCACAAAAGCATCTTTTTAGCTTTCAGTACAGTAGGTATATGAGTAATTTATCCATAGAACCAGATAACTAACATAACTTTGTAAGTGAAATCAAAGATAAATGACGGCACAGCAACTTATTGAATCCTATCACCATATAGAAAAGATAACAATCCAGATATATAAATAGAATCTAATATACATACACTGCATTATACAATAAATAAATAATAAAAACTATTTATATTGAGAATCTAGATGGAGCAGTATATAGGAATATAAGCAACTTTCGCAAAGGTCGGTCATAGGATGGGTGACCAAATATGTCGAAGATTTTCCGTCGGGAAACATTAAGATGTTGGTGCCTGTTTCACCTGCAGCCGTTATCCACGGTGTTTGATTCTTTGCGTAAGGAAGAGGAATTCTAATTCTGGGGACAATTGCAAGTTAAGGATTATGACTCAATAAATATATTATGTATGTTCAAACCGTACCTAGACCCAGAACAAACTCAGGGTGTGAATGCAATGAATATTTATCATATTCCAGAGATGGCTGAAATATTTATTAACGAGCCAACCAGATCATAAAGATCCCACGCATAATGTTAGTTCCTAACTGTAATACCCCTAAGATAGATCAGAAAGATATGGAGCGTTAAAACCTTGACCTAACTAACACCAGCCACAGCAATACCTATTAATAGTCTATTCCTGGCAAGAAAAAGGACAACAACCCAAAGTATTATGTGAGCGTTAAAAGGAAACATAGAACTCTGTATTGTTCTAGCGGTGTATCATATTGGTGAAAGAATTTTTATGATCGAACCAATATTTCCAAAGATCAACCTTGTACAAACAAAATTAGAAACTTTACCCCTTTATAATATTAAATAGATTTTTTTACTTACATTCCAACTGAAACACGGTTATAATAAACAATTGAAACTTTTGAACAATTGAAAAGGAAATTGAAACAGTTTAATAATTAAATAATTTGAAAAAACTCAATGTTCACACAGAAACAAACTACAAAAAACTGATCACAGCACCTGTAGCCAGCTAGATTTGAGTGTAAAATCTATATGGTTTATTGCTTTATGCACAGCATATTTGTAAGCCGTATTCCATTGAAAATTGGGTTCATAATGGATTATACTAATTTGTAATCTAGGGTAGGTGCACCAGTGCTACACCAGGAACTATTAGTACACCATTTCTAACTTCACATCAAAATATTAATTTTCTGCCAAATTCCCCGCCACTTATTTTCGATTGGTACTCGTAGCACTGCCATACTTCTATCAGTCATTTATTCATAAATAAAAGCGACATGCAGGCCATCTACGCCAGTAAAAACACTTGATTCGAAACGACAATTGTTCACTTCGTTTTGGGTTAGGTTAAACGGCACGCCGACGATAAATCTTTGTTAATTGTTATAACTTATTTTCCAATTCAATGAGTATGATGTGTAAAGCAATGATATTACTTATTTCTTGATTTGTCTTATTTCATATGAAAATGGCAATTTAAGTCAATAATCTTCATTGATAAACTAATGGAACACAAATTCAACGATTTTCTACAACTGGTGATTTAGATTTTTGATATTTCTTTTTCTTCTATATTTTTATTTACTGATTATACTGTAATCAATTATTATAAAAATCACTTAAAATATCAACAATGTTCCTGTTGTAGAACAATGGTTTACTACTGATCATATCTAAAAAACGAATATGTTCCAGTAATTTACCACTTACATTTCTTTCACAAAAAAGATTTTAGGAAAAAAAAATTTTTAATTATAAGGAGGAAGTTGTCATAAAACCGATAAACGAGATAAGCAAAAGCTCACAAGATAGAGCAACATGCTGAAAATATAATTTTCCCTACACTACCATCAAAAATAAAATGAAACAAAGGTATCCTGTTTAATGAAAAATGCGACCCCCCCCCCCCCCCCCCCCCACTATATCGACCAAGTAAGAAGAATACTTGGTTCAAAACTTGGATAATAGGTTAACAATTAAGTTTTATTTTATTATTTTTGAACAATTTGCATTAACTATGACATATTAAAATATATCCTAGATAAAAGAGAAAGATTAAAAAAATACACTAACCCCATCTCTTTAAACAGATATGCAATTTAAAATCATAATTAGGCAAGGACATTCTTAGCAATAATATCATAATCTATTGAACCTTAATCTTAGCAAAAGACTAACCCTACAAAATTGTCCTTTCATTTTATTTAAGGTAATAAAACTTTATATATATATTAGATATTATAAATTAATTTATATAAAGAACACTTGTTCAGAATACACCTAAAGGATATATAGACACTAGTTTTCTCTGGGGAACCATATAAAAGAGTTACAAACATCTTCACATCAGACTGGTGAATTTCTATGTATTTTTAACACAGGCAATCTTTTATCCAAGCATCCATCACAACGATGAAGCTAATCTTTTTATTATATATTCAGCAAGTACTCAATTTTTTGTAATCATATTCTTACGCTGTACATTTTAGTTACTATCATAGTATTTATTACCAGTAAAAAAATTTAATTATGTCCATATTTTAAGTAATAATCAGTGATTGGAGTAGTCATTAATATGGGCATTCCCTCTAATTTATTATTAAAAATATAATAAATAAATAATCCTTATGCATGGATAAGTTAAATAGTAGTGGGTAAATGAATTTGAATAGTATTGAGTTTTACCAAAATAATCCATATTCAATTGAACCCAGACATAATTATTATAAAAATGTCTTATACATATTGACCCAAGAAAGCAAACATGTAGTAACTCACAAAACCAAAATTATTCTTCAAAACATTCTTTCTAATTAGTATTACAGGTACCAAAGAACAATCACCCTACTATCACTGACAATAATATAATTGGAAATAAATGAAAAACAATAATAGTGGTAAACAAATCTTAAAATATAAACTATGAAATACTTACATTTTCCAATGAGTTGAAACTCCTGTCCCAACTACTGACAGGAGTTCCCCCAAACAGGTATCCAGGATATCGTTCACACATAGCACACTTTGCATATGCTGCCTCCGTAAAATAACACTAAACTCTATTAGAATATTGAGCAAATCTTTTATAACACCATATTTTTTCAAATTTATTTAACAATACCTAGTTTCTTCTGATGGAAAATCTGAAAACAAGTTTTCACATAGTAAATAGAATTACTAGGGGAAATAGTTTAATTTACTACTATATAAACAATGTTACTGTATTATGGTTTTTTTTTTTTTCAATAAACATTAATGAGAGTTTCAAGATAGTTTTGATATTTATTATTGTTACTGCTTTCGAAAAATATAATTCTTTAAAATATTGAAAAATATAAAATCTAATCATTATTACTACAAGGGCAGGTAGACCCGTCGACTACCCTTAGACAAAATTTTATAAAAACGATTACGAAAATACTTCGAGAATCGCGTTAAAAACGTATTTTCTTAAAAATACATAACTGTTACAAATGACAGCAAAATAATCAGGAGATCTGAAAACTAACAAAGCTATAAACTCACGTGTTTGATGACCAGTATTTACACTTATATTTCGGGATCTAAGTGGTTATTTTTAGCATAAGTTTTTCTTTCAATTCACAAACGTCGGTTCATAATCTGAAATGAGTAGATGAAATGACATTCATTTCTGAATGTTTCAATATCAAATAAAGAAAAACGATATGGGACTCCATACCATTGAATGAAAATTACCCACAATTCTGATGTAATATATAATGTTGGTTAATATAATATAATGGTAATATAATGTTTAATTACCTATTCAAGTAAAGCTATGAGATTTTTATAGAAACAAGTAAAATAACTAATTTTAAATTTTATTTGAATTTTTCTCCATAGCTTAGGTCATTGCCTTTTTCTTCAAATTACCCTAAAACAGGTTAATATTTATTTTTAAGGGTAAGGCTGCGCTAGGTTGTCATAATCTATAAACCAAACAGTGTTGAGTACGTTAGAGTTCAGTTAAATAAATTGAATTATATATATGAGTTGATTGTGTTTTTTTAACATACCAAGCTGACTATTTTTTTTATGACAATAATGAGGAAGTATTTAAAGAAAATAGTACCCACAATCAAACTAGATGTCGCTACGGTACTTTCTTGATTTCTCCATAACAACCCTTCCGGTTTTCTTTCATGTATAAAAGTAAATTAATTTAAATAAAAATAAAAGTATTTAAATAAAAACGAAAGCACTAAAAAAGCACCTCCACTTGATGGCAGCTCTAGCAGAAATAGATTTTTTCAGGAAACGAATGGACCAAGGACAATCATTTTTCATCACCGTTCCTTTTAACTAACATATTAAAAAACTGAAATTTGAAAAGTTCGAAACTTAGATATCAATACAATAAGGAAAAAGTACAAATAGAATACGAGTTGTTTATTGAATTTTGAAAACTAATTTATTTTTAAACTTGAAAGAAAACCGGAAAGGTTGTCATGGAGAAATCAAGAGCGAACTGTAGCGACATCTAGTTTGATTTCGGCAACTATGTTTATTCAATATTTTCTCATTATTACATAGGGTAAGTTTTGTATTCAGGGCACAAAAATAAATTGAATAAAATTCAAAAAGTTAATCTAACTAGTGCATCACTAGACTCCCCCTGATTGGTTGATGGAGACATCCAACATTGCCAGAATGTAACTTTTAAAATGTTTTCGGATATTTGCAAATCATTCATGTTGTTAGTAAAATAACAAATTTTATTTTCATAATAAAACAAAATTTTACAGCAAAAAAAGTTATACATTATAACCATGTATTACAATGATATAAAATTTACAGTGATATGTGGGTTGATAATTTAAACAGCAACATATTAAGGGTAAAAATATAGGTATATCAGAAAAAAAAAATAGTTGCAGTTTTGGAATTATACATATACTTATTTATCAGTAGGTAGACGTCCTATTGATTATATACATGAAGCAATAGATTTTATTATTGTTTATCTCTCTTTATAAATCGTATTGTGTGAATATTAGTCGCAATACTGAACCGTATTAACGGTATTATCTCCGGTATATCTCAATATTTTGGTATTTACAGAATTTCAGTAGAGTTAGTAATTATTTTAAGCATCTTGTTATACTCCTGTTATTTTAATGGAAGTTAAATTATGTAAATGGATTTCAAAGAAGTATTAAATTTAAATTATTTTTATATTAAAAACAAAACTACTGGGTGGTTTTACTACGTTCTGTTGACGAGCATGACTGACTGTATCTTACGGTCAGTTGCACAAACTTCCATTAAAGTTCAATGGCGACTTCAAGATATAATGAATTCTCTTTATTCGACATTTATATTGGTAATGTGGCATTAAAGTAATGATAATTTTAATGATTTGAGCAGCTGACTAAGTGCCTTTTTAGGGCATAAGTTAGATCTGCTCCACTACTGTAGAGTGTTCTTAACCTTCCTGCAAGACCGAAACGGGTATTTCTGGAGAACAACGGATCCAACCAAAGCCATTACCTTCCTTCTTTACAAAGTAATGGAAAAGACTCAATAATAAATTACTTACTTATCTTGAGCAGAATGATCTCCTTGGTGACCACCAGTATGGCTTCCCCCTTGGGCGCTGGGTATTTTCTAATGTATCATTAGAAGATATGTATGTCATTCTCACTCTGCTCTATTGCGAGGTCATTGATTAGTACACGGAAGCATTCGCCGTGTCACTTGATATTTCAAAACCCTTCGATGCGATACACCTTATTTATACGAGGATGTTTGATCCTGATGTATTGCATAAAAGATCGATATACCCGTTACTTTAAAAAGTTATTTTGGGTAGTAAAATTTTGAGTAATTTTATTAATTTATGTAATGGCAACACGAAGTTTCTCACCCACCTAGATTTTTTTTTTTCCACCATTCCTTCCTTTCATTTAATTCGCCATTTTGTTATCGTCGAAGTAGATAGTTGGTTTTGCAATTTGTATGTTAATAAACGAACAAGCGTATGTGATTTCAATCTAATTGTGAACATTTTGTGTGCATACATGTCTCTGATATTGGAAACTTGTGTTTGAACCAGAAATCTTTGCGTTCTTTAGGTAAGTTTTTGATTTGATCGATAGCGTCACTGCGTCACAATGAAATCTCGTTTCCAGTGACCGCGTGATGAATTTATTCCTCTTTATTGCCACATAGTATATATAAAAATTAGTACCGTAGTCCCGTAGTCACGAATGACGTCATATAAATCACTATTTTGGTGAAATCTAATGAAAACATGGCTAAGTTTGCTGAATGTTACATAAACTGACGTGGTTATTTCACTGTCCTGAAAGGTAAATAGGTCTGTATGTACTTGCCTACTTAGTAATTACGTCTTCTGGTAATTTTCTGTAATATGATTAACTAATTCCTACTACATATTGTATGTTTGTTTATCTATCATGATTCAAATTACCCATTGATCCAATCTTACCGTATACGATGACATCCTTATTAATTAATATCAAAAAACATATGCCAAAACTAAAAAAGGTATATCTATTGGGTATTGTGCTATTAATTTAATTAAGGTAAGTTAGAGAAATAAGATATTAGCCTCGGCAACCGCTAATGTTTTATTAGTAAAGCTATATCTAATATATAAATAATTCAATTAAATATCAATCTGCCAAGTGCATTGGGCGTGGAGATAATTTTCAAGAAAAAAGAAAGATTTATTTTATTATTTAAAGAGCTGTAATTATTGAGAAGCAAATGAATGGATACCCATACAGCCAACATGTTATACACATGACTGCATAGCAGGGTACCATAATATATCAACTTTCTCCACTTAACATTAAACTTATTCTCAAAAAATTAAGGTTTAAAATCAAGTGTAGAAATTTGACAGATTTGTATAACCTGGTGTGATGTTGACTGTTCTGAAATTTTTAGTTTAGTGATAGAAACAAAACATAAACATGACTAGAAATAACATGGTTTACTGCACCTACTTCTTGTTATATATGACAGAAATCCCTATTAAAATTGAATTTGCCTTACCCACATAGGTCACATATTAGGTTGAATATAACCAAAATTTTATATAGGTAGTTGCTTTTACATATTGGTTATATGAATATAATTAAATTTGCTTCCCAATAATAACTATTGTTAAATAAAACTACTATAAACTGATATAACATATTTATACAATATTTCATTTTAAAGTTTCGGATAATTACAGGGTCCTTATTCACTAAACTGTTAAATATAAATGTATTGCATCTGTTTAATAGTAGTTTTATTTAATTACTATTATGTGCGAAAATGCAAGAAATCAATTACTCTTACCTATACATACTATACTTAGGTTGGATTTATTAAATAACATTTGTTATTAAACTGTTTCTCTGCTCTGCAAAATTATGTCTCTTTAATATCGCTGTCCATAACAAAATATCAATGAAAAGTCTGATGTTGCTTATTCCAAAGTACCATCTGACACTACTTTGAATAAACTTAAAGAAACCGGTGGAAAACTTCCTTTTTACAACTTTTATTATATGTATGTGTCACAGATTTCATTATAAATCTAATATAACTAAACCAGGTTTTAAAGTTAAAAATAAAAAACTTGACTTTATAACCAGAGGACAAAATTATTATTTAATATTATTGTAATCCTGATAACAACCACATTTTTTTTCACAATGAATAACCTGCACTGGATTATTTTTATGACTAATTTCTTATCTGGTGCTATTTCTAAAATAAGGTTGCTTCCCTCTGTGTGTACACTGAGTTCTTTTAAACTACACCACAGATTTTAATGCGGTTTCATCAATATACATGGTGATGCAAGAGGAAGGTTTATATGTACAAAACAGGACAACTTGGGTGAAGCTGCTGGCACAAAGCTTAGAAAATATTTGAAAATCATAGTGGTTTATTTATTATTTATTTCTTCTTCACACATAAATTATTCACAAATTTAACTGTAGGTATAATATATTTTATGGAATAATCACATATTCACTAAGAAATGTGTTGCTTGGGAGGTATCCACATCAAAGTTATCATGAAGAAAAAGAAAATTACTACCAAATGCTATGAGAGCATCAATGATAACATTCTTTGTGGGTGTGTACTGAGACTACCTAAATAGTGTGGCTAATCCAAATAAAAAATACTGAATTTTATGAGGTATACAGGGTACTGAAATGTCATGTAGTCATATAGAGTTGCATTATGACTACATGACATTTCAGTACCCTGGTTAGTCACTTCAAAAAGTGTAATAAAACATGATAATACATAGTAAGCAATTGAATAACTTAAAATCTTTATATTCATACAATATATAATTTACTATACTATTAAAAAGTTATAAATAGACCTATTACACCAATCTTGTAATACTATTTAAATGTGTATTCCACTGTTATTGGTCCAGTTTTACATACCGGTAATTACTGGGGGCTTATTTCTTAGTAACTGTTACATTACAATTATATTTGATCAATTGTACTATATTGAAAAATGCTTAAAAATCAACTTTGTACTCTGAAATAGGACTCCAACCTTTCGCAATCTAGGCGACTGATCTAACCACTAAACAACCGAGGACATCATAGGACTGACGGATTTTTCAAGCACATTTTGCAAACAGCCGGTAGAATATACCATTATTAATGTAAAATTGATGAAAAATAATGATTAGAACAATTTACATCTTAATATTTTTTGGATTGCCTGAATATTAACGAAAATACGCTAGTTAGTAGTGAAATAAGTGCTTGAAAAAATCATCAGTCAAAATTTAAAATATTTGGAAGAATATTTCTGGTGGATTTTGTGAGAATCTGTATCGTTCTGATAAATACGATTAAGATACAGGTCTTAACATATTTTGAGGACCCTTTATCTTCAGAGATACTTAAGCTTAAAACGACGAAAGTACAAGAATACTATATAGGTAAGGAATCGATAGTTTCGGACATAAAAGGTAATGTTAAAATTTATCTTAAATTGATAAAAAAAAAATATTGGGAGATCATATAATCATATCCGGATGACCAGATGCCCATGGTATAAGTAGCTGACGATTTCTTCAACATTTTGGACAATCTTTTATGTACCTACGTATTTTGACTCTGGAGAAATACTTTTTTTCTACTTGAGGAGGGAAGCTGCCTCCTTCTTCCTCGACGGAGCCGAGCATGAGGTAAATCTTCCCACGGAGCCGCAGCTGACCTTCACTAGGCTTCATAATAAATGATATTTTAAGCATTTTACAACTTAGTGTCTATTCTAGAAAGAAATAGGTCATGAATATTCTGTCTCTGAAAAGACTAAGTGTCATAGACATACGCAAAGCGGGTTCTCGCTCATGACCTTTCACTAAAAATAATAATTCTGTTAGTTACATTTTTATATCAGATACCGAGAAATAGGCCTTCGCACAAGCGACTTCACCCACGTTTAAATTAAGCAGTTTACGCTACGTAATGTTATAAATGACTTAATCTCAATCTTCCAATTCGTCCCACCTAAGTCACGAGTTCATTTCAGATACGAAATAAATGTTGTTGCAAAGATATATTTCAAACACAAGTGGTATAATCAGCCGACCAAGTGGGTGGCTAGACCTGTAGTTGACTGGCGCCATTCAATAAACTTTCGGTCAGACGACAGCTGAACACTATGTTCTACGATACAATATAAATATTTCAGTGGGTGATTTTATTTCAAACACAAAAACTCCTTGCTACGATCTGTAATTGATACAGATAATTATTATAGTATATTTATTACGGTTTCGAAGTGTGCTAATTTAGTTAATAACAACATAAAATGATAAACAACGAAGTAATTTTGGTCCTGTAGGGCACGTGGTAAATTTCGAGGTTATTTTATTAACAGATAAGAAAACTAAATGAACGTTATGACGGCTTTTAAGTCAGCCGTCTTGTTAAATAATCCAAATGTCATAATTATTCAACTAGAAAACGGCGTGCAATTAAATGGCTAGCCGCCCAATTGAACGGCTATGTTAACTAAATTGCTGCAACATATATAGTCTACCTCATTTGAAACAATCATGTAAAGACATATCCACATCTCGACACTGCTTATTTAAGCAATAATCGAGAGGCAAATTCGCGGTGTGCTCAGTTTGCATCTACAGATACGTATTTTGCATCTACACAGTCAACACGATCCAGATACACCTGAGCTATCAAGGCATCAGTATACAATGGAATCAAACGCTTAAGTGTTTTCTTATAGTGTTAAATTTTTGTGTCCTATAAACATTTGTGTTGATTATATATCATTTTACTAGATTACGAATCCTTTTTATCTTCCATGTTATGATCGCGGGAGGAATTAAACAAGTGCCCCTTGCAACTGAGCGGCTCAACGAGTGCCATCGCCGCCACCAGATGACGATATGTGCTTTGTTCGCACGCCAAAATGTTCAAATATGTGTATTCGCAAGTGCGCGAGACTAATGCATCTCCACACCGCGAGTTTGCTACGCGAGGCAGCCTTGCGATGTGGATACACGCTTAGACATATCAATGATATTTTAAAATGAAGTAGTATCAGCTAAATAGAATTGAAACGTCTTTGAGAGCCCTTATTAAGCTAGTTTTACATCGATTTCTTTGACATCTGATTAAATCAAAATTCACTACAAATTCAATACTATTTTGCATTTTGATTTAATACAATGTTAAGGAAATCGATATTGAGCATCGGTAGGCCTACTTATAACTAGAACCACCAGTCCTAACAACCAGTATCTCGATCCCATCGTCGAGCAACACTGCGATATCCATATGTAGCAAAAGAGTCACTGATGTTGCTATTTCACTCACTTGCATTCTTAAGAATTTTTCACGACGCTACTTCCTTTTTTAAGTTAGATCTCCAGATGCTAGACGCTGCTATAGCTGATCGACTCGAGGTGCTCTGGTGTCGCAAATGGGCTTCATGTTAGGGAATGGAGAGAGCGACTAAAAAATGTTTAAATAGTGTGATACTCTGTCGCAGTACCACCATGCACAACAGGCATAATTCCTTTAAGAATAAAATGTTCTTACATTAATTGTAATTGTACGTATGGTAAAACATTATTTTGTTACAACCACAGAGCATTCTCTGCCGCCGTACCACACGATGTTTTTTTACCAAGCAGACATGGTTTACATGTTGTATTTGTCTTAAACAAAATGCATTAATTTTACGTTCTATTGGTTTATATTTTTTTCTTTGTACTTTATTAATTTAAAAAAAAAGTATCAGTATAAATAAGTCTAACACAATTCATGTACACTTTATTATATCGGTTAAATATCTTAAATGAAATTTAACACTTACCTATTCCCTCAGAAATATTCAAAATATGACTAAACAATATAAAATGAACATCATAAAACCTTACACTAACATAAAATCAAAATCGTAATAGAGTGGGCCACACATATAGCGTATTGCACATAATAAAGTGTCATAAATATTTCTTCAAGTATTTTGAGTAATTAAGTTATTACTCTGACTTTGACTTAACAGAGACTTAAAAAATTTATTAATGTTTATTTACATTATTATTATAAGAAATTTTTATTATCGTTGAGTTTTTAACAGTAACTGTAATTATATTTTTCTTGTAGTTTATTATCTTCGCATTTTGATCCAATTACTGCTTTCAGATGATGATAATGTATCTTTTTAGTCTTATTTAGTCGCTAATGATTTCATTACTGAATGGTTAATTTTGATCACTAATAAGAATAAACAAAATATGGACAAAAATGTTCGAATAAAAATAGCAAATAAAACTCTGACAGAACAAATAAATACGTCTTAACGCTTATCCAAGATTTTATCATGAATTTACAGTTATTATGTTACGGCTAAAGCTGGGTATAATGTAAACTTAAGATCAGCTAGCGCAACTTGAGTTTATCTTTAATAAGAGATTAACGTTGAATTGTTCCATATTTAATCATCTCAACTAAAGTGTAAATACGGACAGGCCCTTTGTTAATATGAAAAAGGAAATCGCAATTTTTTTATTTTGTCACGAGTACACTTCAGATAATATCAAATGAATGTGCTTAATTAGAATGTAATTCCGATTGATAGGGTATTAAATAAAAATGAACAATCACTCTGATTACAGGGACTTGGTGAGTATAAAAATAACACTTTAATCATCACAATGTTGCCTATACTGATGACTACTCTCTAAACTTATAAAAAATCAAAGTTACAATCAAATAAATCTAATTCTACTAAAAATGATAAGTTCACTTTGGTTATCTTCATTATTTTACAATAGAAAACTCAATTTAATAGGACCAAACCTACAAGAACTGCGTTAAATATCTGCAGGTCTATCTCTACTAAATCGAAGCTTAACTACGCTAATACATCTATAGATTGAATCAAAATGCACTCAACGTTAAATACTATATTAAACGTTCAGTGTTTTTGTTTCCACCCGATATGTATTGAATAGATTATAGGTATTTCTATTGACAACACATTACATCACATACACAGTTTACAACATTATTAGAAACACGGAAAAGAGAATAAATATAATAATAAAAAAAATACACCTAATGACAACGTATTTGTATCCAGGAATAGAGGATTGGAAATATGTATTATGGTACGAGTCAATCCGAAGTAGAACTGATGTCGACTGTTTATTAGCAAACTGTCTAGTCATAAATCTCTCAAAGGCATTTATAAGTTGTTAAATTTATCAAATAATGTACGTTTTACTTAGCCGCTTCGTTTAGTTAATCTGCACAGTTCTATGACGTAAATTTAAACTAATTTCATCTGAGTCTCGTAGATAAATCTAAGTTTATCCGGTTAAAAACTGGGCTTACGTATAGCCCTATTTCATTCATGGCAATAAAATCTCTATCCCTATCCTATATAGCGAATTTTACATCAAAAACAAAAATAAATACTATAGATTATAGTCTCAGTATGACAGCTATAAAGTTTTCCCTATAAAAAAATGAAGAAATGGTTGAATGGATTTTTTTCAGCTTATTTAGACGTTGGTTCTTGGTACGAAATCATTCGAAGGAACACAAAAAATGTTAAAATATATTTACGATGATTTTTTATTACTATAATTCATATTCGTTTTAAAACAGGGTTCGAAAAAATCCGATATTTATAATGTTACCAGCGTCACAGCAGGTTGGGTAATTTTCTCTAGCTGAGACTTAATACTCTATTAACAATAAATATCAATTGCTATATACCAAGATATACATCATATTTATCAGCGAACCCTGTTTTAAAAGTCAATGAACCTACTAACTGTAGGTTCAAATTAGTATACTTAAAAAAACGTAAAATATGACCGAAAGATAACAAATATTTTATTGCACTAAGTTTTCCTTTTTGTTAATTTATTATTCTGAGAAAAATTGTTGTGAGAATATTAATATACTCATTCACTGATGTAATGATTTTAAAAACCTATTATTGTATTGATTATGAGATAGTTACCTGTTTTGTTACATTTGTTTGACCTTCTTTCTTAGAAAACACGTGGTATTTTATACACCGATAATAACGGGGATCTATCACTTCTCACAAAGCATCAATTATAGCAATAGGTAGGTTGGTTTACGTATAACAATGTAAACTATGTAGTTTTAGTTAATAATAGGTATGGTATTTATTTTGTATTAATATCACTAATAATAGTATAAAGAGGTAATGATTCTGTTTATCTGTTTTCCCGCGTTTTTGCTTGTGTAAACTATAGCCTGTCACCCGCGTGTGATGTAGCTTCCCTTGGGTAAAAAAAATCCATAATAAACACAAAGTTAGAAAGTAAACCTCATTATAATTTTAGTATAGATAAAAGGAAAAATCAATATGTCTAAATAATTAATATACTTGGAGATAATAGATTAAAAAATATTTTCTTAAAACTAGCTTGTTGCTATGTATCGTGGGATACTCCATTCATTATAACATTAGAAAAAAGAGGGTCACAGAAGCAGCAGTGCAGAACATTTTATTTTCAAGATAAATGTTAAAAATTATATAATAGTTTTGTTGAAACTTTGTACGTTAGGTAGTCTGAAAGAGTTGGGCAATTTTCCATTTTCTTTTGCGAAGAGGCTAGAATTTTGTAAATTCATCTTTTACTCCCAAGCCCAGTGTGGAACTATAACTATCTACCTGTTGTTTTGATAAATTCTAATTGTAAGTGTATAATTAGAATAGAATATAATTATTTTTATACCCAGGAAAGAAAGGTAAACAAAATGAAATTTTTAGTATTACTTGTGTAACATTCATTCAGATATCGGAAAAACTTCCTGAAATGTCAGAGGTAATTGTTGTAGGCCATTCGGACCTGCACCGGAATCTCGCAAAACTTAACTTCAAAAAGATAACAACTAAAACAAAACTATAAGAAAACAACTCAATCACGGAATACGGTAAAACAACAAGAAAGGCAATAACATTCACAATTAATGAGAATCCCAGATTACGTATTTTGACTATGACAAAATTAAAAAGCTGTACTACCGAAACGTTTGAAGGGATTAGGCAACGTTTTAAATTTGGTGGAGTTATAGTGACATGAGAATCGTGCTGAAAGTATCCAACCCTGCTTCTCTAGGTTCTTTAAGATGAACATTTTTTATTATAAAAGTTATTAAATCTTTTAAGTTAGTCAAATACTCATAATTTTGTTTTACAGATAGCTTAAACGACAACTGTTAAGTATAGCAGCTGGTACTTAAGTGGATATTTAGCAAATAAGCCGTCAATCTTAAGAGTAACAGGATTTAATTTTATTTCACAAAGTATACCATAAAAAGAACCTTATTTAACTTCTGTCTAATGCTATAATGAATGCAGTATAGGTTATTCAAACTTAACTTTTCTCTCAACTTATTTATAAACCTTAACCCGTAGATTTTAAAGTTCAAAATCGATTGTAGAATTTTGTATAATATTCTGACAGGCACACCGTTTAACACAATATGTCAAATTTCGACAATTTATTTTGAACTTTATCTTGTATGTATTAAGGTTTAAAATCAAGTTATTTTTTTATAGTTATTAATACCACGTGCAATTAAATCAAGTTTTGAAAGGCTAATTGAGGCGAGCGACAATTTTTTGTGATATTGAGTCATATGTTAGGATCATCGGCCGATTTTAAATATGTATAAGAAAATATCACAAAAAATGTCGCATACCCCTATTTTGTCGACCCTATCGTCAAATATACTTTTAGCAGTGCTTATTATCGAGATAAATAAGAATGTATAAATATCTAAATAAATTTCGGACAAAAACTACATAACTGCTTATGAGACTACAACGATTTTAGATTATTCATTAATTTTGAACTTAACTGACAACAATTTAAAGCTTAACCGAATTGGAGCATTTGACCTTTTGTTGAGCTGATCTGATGTAGGTATTTATTAGGTTTTAAATAGGTACTCTTCAAAATAATATTATCATCATCATCATCATCATCAGCCCTTTTACGTCCCCACTGCAGGGGCTCAGGCCTTTCTTATGGATGGTTAAGAAGGATTATACTCTTACCTATTAGTTTAATTAAAAAGTTATCTTTTCTAATGCACGAAAGTTCGTGAACTTGACATAAATCAATTTAAATAATGCCTTAAACAATTAGTATTAGGTATTTTTAAAAATATTATTAACGATATAATTCAGAGTACACAAATGTTAAAAACAAAAATTAGCTAACCCAACATTTTTGTACTTCAACCCTTATTGTGTATTAACGAGGTGCCTTTTATATTCATAATAACTTACAAATAATGATCTACCAACTCATGCAGGTAGCAAAAATAATTGCCTGTGCCTGGCCACTGGTTCAGTTGCTCTTTGACCGCGAAGTGAAGTGGTTGTGCCAGTGTTACTTAGGTTAATAATAAGTGCTCTATCGTTCTCGCGAATGGGACCGAACATAAGAATTGACAATTGGACACGCTTATTCCCTTTTTATAGGTCGACTCCAAGAACATCCGCAACAATGAGTGTCATCATACGACTCCAAAACCTGCCGTGGTCTGCCAATGCCCTGGACATTAGGAATTTCTTCCGGGGTCTCTCTATCCCTGAGGGTGGAGTTCACATCGTAGGAGGCGAACTTGGAGATGCTTTCATTGCGTTCAGGTAGCTATAATGTACCTTCACAGTAAATAATATCCTCGCGTTTTTTCTAAGTACCGATTCATTTGAAAATCTCACATTTCATAAGAGAATGAATGAATGACACTTTATTGTACTCGAAAAGAAAAATCAACATAACAATTAATAACAATAAACGCATCAACGGTACAATCGGATTTTTAGAATTAAGTAGCTTTAAGATATGTCTGATTATTTTAAATAAATGTTGCTGTATATATTGTGTTTATACCCAAAATACGGGATGATTCAAATAAATTACGCACGGAACTGAGTAAATAAAGTTTAATACGTCGTTTGATATAGTACAGAATTTTATTATACCCTTGTTATAGAGAATGTTGCGCGTGTGAAAATCAATTTGTTAAAACTTATAATGAACTAAAAAGCTAGAAAAACAATTATCAAATGTTTATTATACAATCAAAATACAAAATAAGTGACAAATCTCGTTTCAAATGTAGAATCCTTTAAACTTCGCTGCTGACTCTTCGTTGACCTCGCACAAACTACAGGTGCCTTAGTACCTTCGTGCATTATAGCTATTGTTAGGGAACTGCTGAAACATTTAAGGTTACTAGTTGTAATTGCTAAAGCATTTGAATCTAGGTTTGATTCCGATAGAATTAGTATCTTCGTGCATTATTGCTATTGTTAGGGGACTGCTGAAACATTTAAGGTTACTAGTTGTAATTGCTAAAGCATTTGAATCTAGGTTTGATTCTGATAGAATTAGGTGCTGAAGGAATCTTGGATGCGACTGGTGAGTATATTCCGAATTAATCTCTTTACCTTTTTTATATAAAGTATAGATACATTCGCAAAAAAGCAATTCAGTCAGTACGTTTCAATGCAACCAGAAATTCGGCTAGAATTTGTCTTATCCAACACTTTATATCATAGAGTGAATTAACCTCTTCGACAAACATTATGCTGACAAGATCTGATCAAAAACGATGACAAAACATCCAAGTATGTGCTTGCAAACTATTGAACAACATGTCTGGTTACCAATTTTACTTATCCAGCATTCCACTCTATAGTATATCTATGACGTGAGATCGATAATAGTCACGATAGAACTTCTCTCCGAAAGTCTTAAATCTAAGACTTTTTATTTATAATCGTCCTCAAAGACTTGTCAGGTATTCCATGAGGGTCTGAATGAGCTTAGCGTTATAATTTTTAAGTCTTACAAAAACTTTATTTAGATTCTTATCTACGGATACTGACTTAATACACTACTTTCTCATAATCGTGTTCAATGTTTCAATTTGTCTGTCAACACTTGAAACTACAATAACATCATCTAGCAACTTTAAAATTATTAACATCCAATTACACAAAATATCCATTAAGGTTAAATAACGATAATAAGCTCATTATGTATTTTCTAAATATAATAATGTAACTAATGATATATATAATTAGAGGGCTCGCTCGATTGGGTGTAAAGTATTGTAGCAGATACCTCATTATTGTTGAGCCGACGAATCTTTAAAACCACACTGTGAATAATGTCTTCAAAGCACAAAATAATCAATAGAATTTGTTATTAATGTAATAAATGAGTTATACTAAGGTTTAAAAAAATCATCATTGTTGACACGTGTACATATTTATTAATTGTATGCGTTATAACTATGTCGCAAAGGTGCCACTAAATTTGACCCATTTTAATTCTCAGAAATTGTTTAAAATTAGACGAAGGAGATCCTATAGAAATTGGTCTAGCTCTAATAAATGTCTGAATTCAATAATACTGAGCTAAACAATGTGAGTTAGGTGTTTATAATTATTGGTAAACCAACTTTAATCAGTTATGTTATCTTCATATATTGTATGACTATTTTAAATATGTAATTTAACTAGTGAAAACAAATTCCTATAAATTATCGTTAGTTCAATAAGAGTCAAAAGTGTTTTAGCAAATTAGAACTACTCTAAAAATTATTATGAAAAGAAAAGGGTAGAAGAAGTTCTTACAAATAAAGAACAAAATATTTCCTTATATGTTACCTACATAGTATAGAGTAATAATTTTGAAGACAAACTTCTTCACAAGAACACCAAAGTTTTAAGTAATAAAATAATTTTGACTAAAAGATGTCGTTAACTACTATGGTAAAATTTATTTGATTTTTCTAAAAGGTTAATTGAAATAATTCTTACATATATACCAATCTAGATTTTAATGGTTCACAAAAACCATATGGAAGGAGGACGTTTCTTATAGAAGTGATTTAAGGGGAAGTATTTCCATTCATGAATTAGCTTAGCAAACGTGTATTCATAGAGCATTCATTCCCGTTATCGAACAAAAGTCACTTCAATAATTGCATTTATTAAGTATTCATAGAAAATTAACTTTACCAAATCAATGCTCATTAGCAATGCAATTTAAATGTATTCGTGATTTTGCGAAATTTTTTTAGCCTTCAAGTGCTATTGAACTATGCCTCGGTTTTAACCTGCTTACTCTCTATTACAGTTTTTCTTGAAATTTGCGTCTTTTAGTTCATTAAGACAATAATGTGAAGTAAATGGTATTCATACGTAAATTGTAGAAAATTATTCTATTACTAGATATACTTACGTATAAAAGAAAGGAGAAAATCAGAACATTCATCACAAATAGCCAACTTTCAATACTTATAATTTTGCAGGTGTTGTGTGTTTTCTACCTAACAAAAGGATAGGGAAAAAGATCAATCCTATGTTGTTATTCAACTTAAAAACATGTACCGATTCAAATATTTCGACCATTGAACTGCTGCACAACAATACTACTCACGACAACACTAGTTTGCTGATATATATAAAATTATTGTAGTATATATGTCGCAACAAAGTGGTATAATCGGTATACCAATTGGGCTGAAATTGAATGACGCCATTCAATTAAAGGGCTAGTGGCCCTATTGGTCGGCTGATTATATCACTTAGCTGCGACATGTATACTACAATAATTTTATCGAATGTGCTTTCTACCCATTACAAGTTTTCAACATAACTTGCTGCAATTGCAAGATCTCCATCACTGTCTATCTTCGAGAAATCTTGAAAAAAAATTAAATGATGGTGAACAGTTTTCTGATAAATGAAACTTCAAGCAGAACTTCTAGCAATGCCATCATTTCGAGCAAGCTTCTACTTCCATATGCACAGTATCTGTTGGGTACCTATGTTTCGTTGATTATTTCAAGTTTGCGTTGATACTATAAGTAATCTATACCTAATCGGCTCGAACAAACGCAGAATGGAATAGTTACTAGAAAAAGTATACTAGTAATAAGATGCGTCTATATTTATTGAACCGTCTACTCTATCTTTTTTTAAAAGATTCTAGCTAACCTGGAAATTACGGAATGCTTTTTGTCCGTTTTTTTTTTTTACTCAAGGATTTGAATCTCTGAAAAATATTCTTCACTTGTTTTCTTTTCTTTCACTTTGTTCCTGTTACTTAAAACGGAGGCTGGTGCTGGAGTAACTGCTGATTCTTCGTTTTTTAGAGATTAAGTTACACCTTCATAGTGCATGAAGGATTCGTCTCCACAGAAATATATCTAGTTAGAAGGAACATGTTCGTCGATTTATATGGAGACCGAGCGTGCCCCATTTTATGTAGGTATCATGACGTCACGAACTTAATTTAGTGATGGAAAACATAATTTCTCTTCAATCGAATACATGTTGTATTTGAAACAGCATACCAATTCTTATCGATTTAAAAACCGATATCGAACGACGGAGACCAATGTGTAACATTTTGCTTAAATATTATGTATATGTCACGAATGTAATTTAGTAAAACTGCACAAAATAGTACGTGCGGTGGCGTGACGGAGTCAGCGTAGTTGACGATCAAAATATCGGACCTTTGTCTTCATTGTGAATAGAAATAAGTATATTCCTCTGTCTAACATTATTCGTGTGACCAAATCATTTTACTTATACCGCATACCTAATATCATATTTTTATCAGTAAGAACCGACAGCTAAAATGATAATTAGTTTTGACAGACAAAATGATAATACTACAAATCGATAGAAAAAAAATGAGAAAGTCACAGACTTCAATTTAGAATTCAATATAAGTCGATTAATTGAGATCGAGATTGCGTCAATGACTACAAAACTAAATGGATCAATAATTTATTGTCACAATAATACAGTATCACATACTTTATATCAATATATGTTCAATACAAAAATACTCTGAATTTAATAAAAATACTTACCATTTCACACTTTCTCTTCCTGAGCTTACTGTACATATTATTTGATTCCTTATCTGAACAAGATGGGTCTATCTGCGGCACAAATTGTATTACATTCATTAATTATATAAAACAAAATATTATAAAACAAAGTAACTATTTCATTTTCTATTTGCAGTAAAGTCAAAAACTACTAGTTTTCACTAATAGATAGAATGATGCCATGTATAATTTGCCTAAGCAAAATAATGTGTGCTGAGGCCACTATTAATATCCACTGTAATACAAAATATTACATTTGAAATCCTAACAGTAAACACCGTTTAGCTACTACTAAGCTAAACGGTGTGATTGTTCATTTAACTTCTTCTTTTATTTAATTCCCTCGCACAACTGTGTTTGAATCTGTAACTAAACAAAGATGTGCAAAAGAAATATTACACTGTCACTAAATATATTTCTGTGATACTATCCTATCTATTTATGTCACCTGATTTATCCATTAGATTCGGAAAATTACGGCTGTGACATACGGACGAACAGGCAGACTCATGTTCGATAGGATCGCTGGTAGATTACACTTTTTGTATGAAATAATGTAAAAAATCTTAAGGTATACTTTACCTTTTTTTCAGTTGTCATTATCACAACATCAATAGTCGGATATGCTGTTTTTATTACTCGTCGGTACTTTGATGGACCAGTAAAGGTATCTTCATCGAAATGAATTGAACAAATCCGACTGTTTTTTGTAGGATACCAATT